CCCAGATGTTACGTCACTTTAGAGTTGGATAACCCCCAGAGTATCAGAAACCTACACATTTTCTGTTATGCTTCAGAGCGAGCTTATGGCTCAGTAGCCTACATCCAAACACTCAGTCCTCAAGGAGACATAGAGATAGCTTTCTTGACGGCCCGTTCCAGAGTTTCTCTAAAGAAACAACAGTCCATACCTCGTCTCGAGTTGTGTGCCGCTATGACAGGAGCACAATTTGCCAAATTACTGAAGTCAGAACTCCGTGTTCCCATACGTCAGGTCACACTCTGGATTCCACCACTGTGTTGGCATGGATTCAAGCTGACTCCTGTCGATTTAAAGTCTTCGTCGGAACGAGAATAACAGAGATACAGGAGTTAACAGACTCCAAGGATTGGTGTTATGTTGATTCAAAGTCTAATCCTGCTGATGACATCACTAGGGGCAAGACCTTGGCCGAGTTAGCCAAGGCAAACAGGTGGAGTCAAGGCCCATCATTCCTTCTCCTACCTGCAGATCAGTGGCCTCAGAGTCCTCTCCTACAGCTACCTACTGAAGATGCAGAGCTGAAACAGTAATTTTGAATCTTATAAGGAACTACTAGCAGCTACAGCTAGAGCCTTGCACGGGGCGGCTACCCCTACGGAAGTGCTAACAGCTGAGCATTATAGAGAAGCCGAACTAACCCTCCTTCATCAAGCACAAATCCATAGTTTCCCAGTCGAGATGGCTCATCTTAAGTCAGGTTAACCTCTACCGATGAGCAGCCGTCTCTTGTGCCTTGCCCCAGAGTATGACAGCACTACCCACCTCATCAGAGTTGGTGGTCGTCTCAGACTAACAGAGCAGCTTGTAACAGTCACAGCTTGTTACATGATTTGATGCATTTCATTTCTAGTGCTTTGTTCATCCTGACCACTAGGGGACACCAATAGCATATCCCTATTTGGGAATAAAAGCGGAAGTAATAGAATGAGTGGTAGATTCGATTTGAGTTGCCTCATGGCAGCTGCTGTTCTCTAGAGGGTCCTGGTTTGAGAAACATTGGCTTTGCTGCTCAACCGTGAGTTTGTTGTTTGGTTCTTCATGTAAAACTTGTGAGGTTTATTGATTGGGGAAGTCAATTATTTTAATGTTTTGTGGGTTGGATTTGTTTGGTGAGTTTGTTTGAAAGTTAAAGGTCCCATGGCATGAAAATTTCACTTTTTGAGGTTTTTTAACATTAATATGAGTTAATGTATTTTACTTGATGAACAATCAATTAAATACAAAAACACAGTAAAAACAAAACTCAACCAATTAAAAAGAAAAAAAAAAGTTTGTGCTTGTGTTTTATGATACAGGTTATGTTGCTGACATGATGGACCTAATTTTTGAGAAAGTCTTTCTTAACCCTACGCCATACACCGATGCGCTGTTGGCCATCCCTGTCCCAGAGGACCTATCAGCGCAGTATGAGAAGCCGGACAAGGAGGAGGTTATTGCCAGCTTTGTGTCAAGGTTCAAACGGGGGGCAGTTTAAACCCTACGTAGTGCCCTTCCTCATCAGGAAATTCTGAGCGGATGCGCAGGACCACACAAGCTGGAATAATGACCCGGATTCTGCGTCCCAGGAGGCCCCAGCACCAGCTCACAAATGAACGATAGGAGAGATACCTGTAGCGACTGAACAATTGATTCTGATATTTAGTCTTGCAGAGATTTAACATTGGTTTGTGTTATTGTGATCTAAACAAATATTCCTGTGCTCCTATGGATCATCTTCAATGCTTGTTTTGTAACATTTTTCAAGTTTTTTTTCTCCCCCACTCTACACTATTGAATGAAAATTAGACACAAGGTTTGTTGGTGGAATAAACAGTCAAGACTCAAGACAATAGTTTATTTCTTATTTTATTAACTTCTGTAACAAAGCACAACTTACTGGTGTATTCCTCTCAAACGTAGTGGACCATAGTCAGCTCTGTATATTTGGCCGGCATTCTGCAGAGAGTACACATTGAGGCAGACAGGATACAATCCAGGATGGTCAACCATACATGTGAGCTGTTCTTCGACCTCCCGTAGTCTTCTAGTAACCTAATTAGAATTACAAATGGTAAGTGTCAATTTTAGGCACAATTAGTTGTCAAATGAAGAGACAAAGTAGTTTCCAATTTAGTGGTGAGAATGCTACCTGAGGTATCTCCAAGCAGCAAATATTCTCAGTTTCTGTG